CTCTCACAGCATATTGAATTAAGCCTGAAGTTTCAACTGCAGAGCTGAGCTAAGAAGGATATGACTTTTTGGAGCAGATAGTTCATGAGTGTGCTGACCATAAAGGCACTTGGTGCAGGAGATAGAAAATGAGTTCTGTAGATAATTTTACTCAAAAGTCTGAAGTTGATTGTTAAAATGGCATTTGAATCCTTTTTGATTTTGAAATGTTGAATCGTGAATCTATGTCTTGGACCTTGATTAATCAAAGCACATGTTTAAAGTTTTGCTAGCAGCCTTCCATAGGGAGGCTGTATACATAGTGTATGTAGAGTCTTGGAGAAAAAAATATGGGATGCATACATTTCAGATCAGTATCAGACCATGTATTTTATTTTTGAGCTCATTAATCTTCATATCTCTGGAGATATAAGAAACCATCTAGAGTTGAGTGTTGTTGCTCTGGCTGAGAGAAATGTGTTTTCTTTATAAATGCTGAGCAAAGTTTGATAAACCATTTCTTAAACACTTGGGAAGATGAAAAGTGAAAATGAAAGGAAAAGATAGCCATTATGATTGGTGAACATCAAAATTAATACTTGGATGAAATGAGGAGTTGTTGGTCTGAAAAGCTAGCGTCATTTGAGATACTTAAGACCGCAATCTATCTCTGAAAATATGGATGTGGAGGTGGATCGTTTTGAACTCTGTCAATACTGTGTGTATCTGAACAGGATCAGCACAGCTTGTACTGGCAAGTAGTCAAGAGCACATATAGCACTTAGGGAAGCATCTTGGTATGAAGGATGAGGCTCTCAGGCTGCATTAGTAGCCAGATCTGTGAGGATTTTAGATTTCTCTGTAAAACACAGCAGTAGCCCTTAAAAATTTCCTTAAACAGTACTGTCCTATTTGAGCTGCAAAAATGTGACTAAGTAAAATATATTTCTAACAGCCAAATACTTGTAGTAAATTTGGTTCTTATATTAAATACTCCTACCTGCCATACCTGACTGTATGATTCAAACCATACATGCAGAGGGACAGCACAAGTTAGTGTAGACAGCTCTTTTCAGTGATCACTAGAATAATGCAACTTCTTGAAGCAGACAATTTCACATCCACTGCCTGCAAAAACTGTTGTAGGGACCACAGTGCTGTTGCTCCATGGCCACACACCTTGCTTCTAAAAGTGCCTGAAAATATGCAGCAGGGGCTGAAAATCACAACTTAAAATTATCTGTGGTTGGGGCTTAGTGTAGCAAATATCTTTGGGAAGTTGTCTTTTTTTTTTCTTCAGTGGTTGATACCAATCAAAAGGGATCCAAAAACAAAAACCAAAAAAAAACCTGTGGGACAGTTAGAGAAAGAATACTGATCTTGGTTTCTTGAGACAAATGGCATCTTACTGGTTTCATTTTTGAAAAAGGATTTCAAGAAGTGCACAGTTAAACATTTTAATGAGAAAATGAGTTTTCAATGAACATTCATTTTTTTTAGTCCCATTTTGGTAAATATTTCAAAGTTTGTAAACAAACCTGAAAGCATGAACGTGAATGCTATTAAAAATGCTTCAGAAAAAAAAGGAATAGCTTTTAATTTAAAATTTAAAATAATGCTTGAAAATTGTTGCCAAGTTCTACTCAGAATGAACTCAGATAAAATGCTCTCCTTTATTAAAAAAGGTGTAATTACTGCACATTGTTTAACATTAAAATGTATGCATCCTTTCAATACTTCCATAGTTACAATTGTTGCTTGCTTTTTGAAAGTTAGGCCCTGTATGTGCATAAATGTGTGGTGACTCTTTAATGACAACTACAGTCATGATTTCCTGTTGTTCCCAAGACAATGACATCTTCATCACATCAAAGAATTTCGCACAAAGTGAAACATAAATCTGAAGGCAATTCTCTGAGCTAAGGCTCTGGGATCTTCATAGTCACAGTTGAGTGTCTGGTTTTCACTTTTGTGTGACATTTCTGATTGCAAGACGTGACAAATGACTGCGAAGAGATCTTGTATTTCATTGAACCATAAGATGGCTTCATGTTGTTGTCAATGGAGTAATAAGGCTTTTTCAGCAAATGGAATTCTGTAACTTTATTCTCAGACAATCAACTCAGCCTGCAAAAATGATGAGGAGAACATGGAATGGATGGTGCACATGAAATGTCTGAGAGGGGATCTACCAATGACTGAAAATACCATTCAAAATATCATTTTCTCCTATATAGCATAAAATAGGAAGGGGAAGAAAAAAAAAAAACGGAAAGCAATGGCCCATCCAGTTTAGAAATGTACAATACCAATTGCCTAAGATACAAAACTTGCGATGTGCAGCCACAGAATAATCTGTACAATAAAACAATTATTCTTTAACTCATGATAATTAGAATATGCTTTATGTGCCAGAACTTGAGGTTTTTAGCTTTTTCAAACTTCTACTGCTGCTCCCTAATATCTGCTGTTAGTATACTCATATAACCAAAGGAAAAACATAGCAGAACAATTTTCTTCTAGCAAACATAACTAGCTTCACAAAAGCTTGCTCATCCTTCCAGATTTATGCCCCTTGAGCATCTCTAGCCTGAATTCTTGTTCTATTCAGCCTTTTTTCCCCCCTAAAGAAGCAGTGACAAAGAGGCTATCTAAAATGAATAGATCATCTCTGTTTGTGTCTGTCCATATTATTAATGGCTGAATCTTCACATCTTTCCTTATTAATTAAAAAAAAAGTGTGTCTAGGCTCCAGCCAAAATGACAGTCAAGAACCAGCAAAACACTTAGGAATAGAAAGTTTATGATGAAGAATGAGTTTCTACCTGTGACAGTTCACTGACAACGTATTAGTTTTACATATCTGCTCCTTGCGCTATGCTTTGTCTTCAAAAATACTCACCAAAAAATTCAGAGGAGGCAGTTGGCATGGTCCCTAATGAAACAAGATAAAGTGTTCTGTAATGATGATGACAGCAAATTCACTAAGTGTACTGCAGTTTGTGAACTCTGCAAATTGATCAAACCAAGATTCCTCGATTTCTTAATCGACTGTTACACTTTCTCTTCTGACCCTCTGTAGCCCAGTTGCTTTTCTCAACACTTTGGCAGCTTATGGACTCCTTGTTTGCTCCTCCAGTTATGAATACTGGAAGAAATAAAGGCCAAGGTGGATGTGGCTCTGGGCAGCCTGGTCTGGTTGTTAGTCACCCTGCACATAGCAGGGGGGTTGAAACTAGATGATAATTGTGGTCCTATTCAACCTATGCCATTCTATGATTCATTGCATTGTCCTAATGACCTTGAGGAAGGAACTATCTTAATTAAGCTCTTGATAGAATGGATATTAATTAAAGCACTATCCTACCACCAGATGCTGAGTATCCTAAGCATTTATGTAACTCTGGGAAGGGTAGTACTGTGCTTATTTAGCACTCCTGCCTGCAAAAGATTTTTTGTCGGAAATGTACAGGGCAAAAACATATTTCAACCAGTGGTACGACTGATTGTTTTGGAGAGATTCTTACTTCATAGTGACGTGATCCCTTAGAATTGTGGTTCTATTTTGTCAGCAGAAGCAAAGAATATTCCAAATTTTGTTAAAATCTTAGTGATTATTATCTATTGTAGAGATTTCTTCATACTGAGAAAAATGAGTCAGTAGTCAAACTAGTCTGCTTCAGGTCGGCCGTTCAAGTCTTTCTGAAACTTGCTTCATCGGGGAAACTTCTTCTAGGGAAACTGGGGGAAAGAGGGATGCCAGTTTTTGTGCATTCACAACACTGAGAATGAGGAATTATTCCTGCCTAGTGCAGAGCGATTGCTGCCTTCTACAGGAGAGGCTTAGATGGCATTTAAAAAGTTGTGAAGATGTACTTTGCCTACGCTCAGTCTGCAAATCTTGTGATCCTTCCAGATGAAAGGTACTGGGAATTTTGCAGTAGTATTTACGATCTTAACTCAGCAAACATTATGTATATCAAATTTAACTGTACTGCTCTGATGCCTGAAGAATTGAAGGGGCTTGTGAAAAGATTTACAAGTGGCTTACAAATGGCCTATTCATAAGTTCCCCTGGGTATGTTCCAGTCTGTGTAACTCATGTATTTGCTGTATGATGATGTGTGAATGTGCAAATAGTGGTTAAAATGCGCTCATAAAATTAAGAGGTAAGAAAAAAGATAGTTTTGACCTTGTAATAACCAAAAATGATGTCCAAATATATTGCTGTGTGTTTTGCTAATGGTAGCTCTCAAAAGCTTACCAAGAGAGTATTTGCTTACATTTCTGTTACTGTATCAAACAAATAACTCTGTCTCAAAGAAAGAAAAAGGAAGGTTCTGATCCATGTGTTAAATCAGTCTGCGATTTTTATTTGTTAACAGTTAGCTGAAAAATTGTAAGCTTGTTTTACTAACGATGTGGGTTCTCATAGACAATAATCTTCCAGAAGAAAAATATTGATAAGCAGAAAGGAAGAGCTGGTTGTATAAAAATAGGTCTAAAGCATAAAGATGTCTCCCTGGATGGAGGACATACCTGAGCTCAAGCTTTTCTGCTAGAGTAAATAGCTTATTTTCATTTGGAGCAATAGAAGTGACAGGAAAGCTGAGAACTAAAATTGTCTTTTATCTTGACAAGACTTAAGTGCTTGTCCAAGTTATAAATAATGTATATACATGTGTTTGTATGTGTGTATCTGAAATACCATTATGTGGATGCATGTGTATGTCACTCCCCTGTTGAATGGGAATTTGAAAATTCTTACTTATTTCCTTAAGTTTTTAGATACTTTAAAATAAGAACAACATTCATACTATTAAAGCGGTGCCTACTCATGAAGGCAGTTACCTACATGCCAGAGTTTGAGCACAAACTCAGGGCCAGATGCAGTAAATTTTCACATGCTAGGCAGCAGTGAATCAAAAGGTTTTATTACAGCAGTGTTTCAAGCAATGCTTGAAATATATAAAATGTTTTCCCTCTGTTTATGTGATACATTTTCTGTATCTCTTTTTAAGCCATCTATGAACAATCATGTGAGGCTTACCGGCACCAAGGGAAGACGTCAGATTTCTTCTACATTGATTCTGATGGAAGTGGACCGCTTGGACCGCTCCGGGTTTTTTGCAATATAACAGGTAACATGTTTAACATGTAATGTTAAAAACCCAACTCTGCATTTGGTGCTTTATGCGGGCTCTAATGTTATTGTTATGTCTGTCATTGTGCTTACTAAGAAGATGCTAGAACCATTATTCCTTCAGTAGTGGAAAAAGCAGAGAATTGGTAGTAATTGAGGTTTGACTTTGGAGTGTTTCCTTAAATAGGATCCAAGTAAAATTGATTTCTAAACCTTAAGCTTAAAGGGTTCACATTCCCCTGTTACTAAATGATATTAACAATGGTATTTGAACCTTGTAAAGGGAACAGCATAATATCATAACTTTTAGTGAGATGTCTGTAGTTTTTACTAAAGATCTGGAGACTTAGAATTCAAGCTTTCTTTTGTAACTGAATAGGTCTTTTGCCTTAGTAGAACATTAGATGTGGGATTCAAATAAAATCCTGCAGAAATAAATCCATTACATGGAATCTGGACCATTCACTTTCCAGACTAGCATACAGTTTCAATTAAAAGCAGAGGGCCCACTTGTGCCAGAGTTCTTGAAATAGAACTGTGCCTTTGTAAACATGGTGATAGAGAGAAGCACAACAATAAACAGGTTTTCTTTAAACAAAAGGAAATTGTTATTTCTCATCATAGCCTGAGATCGTTGTCAAGATATGGCAGAAAAAGAGCTGCTTGTGGCCTCTCCTGATATTCAGCTGGCACGTCATGTATCAGAACAGGAGGTTCACAGACACACAAAACAGATCTTTGTTCACAATTAGAGCAAGAAAGTCCTTGCCTTATAAACTGGGGATGATTTTAAGATCCTTGTACTGAGCTGGCTGTTAATTTTCCCAGTGTAGCTCTAACAGAAATTCTTTCCCTCATGTGAGTGTGCTGCTTTTGGTGTTTAAGTGAATGCATTCATCTACCTGGCTATGTGTATAGATGAGGAGATATGATGCTGTCAGGAGGAGGGTCACCAAAGTGAGAGAGAGAGTGCAGAGCAAGTGCCTGGAAGGGTGACCTATTCATTAAGACACCTCAAACTTACAGGTCTGTAGTTTTAAAATAAGAAGTTTTTCAAATGAAAGTCCCTATCTGGCAAAGTCTCCCTACCAGTAACTGGAGCCCACTTTGTATGTAGGGTTGTCTTGCAAAGGCATGAGGAAGTACTGTAACATAAGCTATATTGTGGATTGCGAAATATCATAGAGCCTTGTTTCTGCAATGTAGAGGAAATTTCCTGTACTTCTTCCTATCTGACTTTCTTTGCTTCCTGTGGCCAGCCAGGTGAGAGTGAAAGAATATCTTATTATCTGAATTGCTAATTCTGCATGAGTATAGTTTGCTAAATATATCAGTCCAGAAAACAAAGCACTCAGAATATTCATTTTTCCTTAATCTCCTTGTACTTAGAGTGTCTCAAATTAAATTTTTATTTTGATTTAATTGAGCAATCATTATGTTCATTAAATGCACACTAGTTAATTATTAAATATGTTTTTCATTCAAGTGTAACATATATTTAACAAGATTTGTCGTCTTTGCTGTCATTGGATTTCATAAGCATTGGAACAGCTTCACCTCTCTGTCTGAATATCCTTCCTTGATCTCCAGTGTGGGAAATGTGCTCATTTTTATTATTTATCAGATAAATATCTGTGATCAAAACATTGTCAGTCCTTTTTACGTCTGCTTAAAATGCAGGAATTTTGACAAACTCCTTGCAGAAAGCACCTGCTTTCTTCAAATAAATTTTATTTGGCAGAAATCCAGAGGGTCTGATTTTCTCTCTGTAATGAACTTGCTGACATTCTTATTTTATTTTGGTTACAAGAAAATTGAAGGTGGGGAAAACTGACAGAACCTGCTAGCCTGAAAAATTCTATTCTACGTATTTCTTCTTTTCCCCTAGATATCTCATTTAAAATAGGGGAAGGTCATTTGTCTTTGATACTTCTGTTATTCCTAGTGCATAAAGGAGGACCAAGGCACAGAAAAAAATTACTGTTTTTTAATTATCTAGATAGCTTGTGGTACAATTGGATTATGTTTTTGTATCATAAAAATATATGAGGGCTTCTCCAAAAGTAATGCCTTCTATTTTATTATGTTGGCCCACAATGTCAGGGGCAGGTATTAATGGTATAGTAGTATGGTTTCCACCTGTATTCTATTACATGTTGTTGCTGTGTGACAGATGGCAGCGCAGGGGCAGTCTAATGTGCAAGTGCTTATCAAGCAAACAGGTGGAATGGAATTCCTCCAAAAATGGCCAGGGTTGATGTTCATTGATGTTTGCTGAATGTTTATGGAGACCGAGCAGTGGGTATGAGCATGGTGAGGTGATGGGCGGTGCATTTCAGCAATGGTGACAGTGAGTTGCCTCCACTGATGCAGGTTTTTATGAGTGTGGCATGCAGGATCTTGTTCACTGCTGTTGAAAATACATAGCTAATGGTGGTGACTCTGTTGCAAAACAGAGTTTTGTAGCTGAGAATTTGCTCTATGAAATTGTGTTATTGTGTTCTTTGTAGCTGTCATCGTTTCCATGGAAATAAATGGAGTCATAAATGAAAATAAAGGAGTCATTGCTTTTGGTATAACCTACGTAGTTTGGGTGCCTTAATCACAAGAACTTCTTTATTTTCTTGGGAACTTACGCAGATAATAATTAAATGTTTACAGTAATAGACTAAGTACAGGAGATAGTGGAAAAAATAACTTTTATCTTTACCCTCAAATAGATAGATTCAGAATTTTGCTATTACTTTCAGATAGTATTCCTGTATAGTTTTCTGAAAGCATAGATATTCAAGGAAAGTGAATAAACTCATTTCGATGTTGTCATATTAAGGAAGAAATAAAGGAGAAGACCACATTAACATTCAGTGACATAAACCCATACTGCAGATACTATGCTTGAAAAAATACAGATAGTCAGAAATGTGGATGGCTGCTGTGTATGGAAAAAGTAAATAGACTGAAGAGATGATGAAGGGAACTGCCACAGGAAAGCATGGAAGATATAAGTGTGAGGAAGAAAGAAAAAAAGGAATTGATTCTTTCTCATAATATGGGAACTAAGGAACTATTAAGTTAGCAGGATTTAAATATTTATTATTACTATTCATATTTTTATTCTTGACACTATCAATAACTCAATTATGACTGTGTATGTTGAGAAGGAATTGGACAATCAGACACAAGGTAAAAAGGGAGAGAGAAATAAGAGGAAGGAAATTCTGCAGGGAGGGAAAAAAAAGAAAAAAGAAGAAAATGTATAAAGCCAATTTTCAGCATGGCAAAAATTTAACAGTATTGTGTCTCTGGATATCTGCTGATAGCAGAGTGGATAAATATATTCACTGTCTGGAGAAGTAGCTGAAAAAACAAAGTGACAAAAGTTGTAGGTGATGTGCTATTATTTAAGTTGGTCAAGAATAGGGAAGAGTACGTGAGGCACTTCAGAAAGATTTTGTCCTGAAGGCTGTTTATTTCAAGTAAAAGCAAAATACTTTTTTGAAATAGGCAGTGATCAGGAATAGTAATAAGCCTAATTAAAGTCATAGAAAGACATCTGTACAAAGAGAGGCTAGAAGTAAATAATCCATGGTTATTTAGATTAGAAAGACTCAAAGTGAATGGGCCTCACTAACCACAGTGATGTTCATTTGCATTTTCTTACAATAGAAATAAAGAGATAATTCAATGACAATGAAGGACGACAAATTTAAGACTAGATTAAAAAAAAAAAAAAGGACAACACCTTATTAACATATTGTTTTCTTCACCTTTTATACCCGTTACACCCAGAGCAAAATCACTTTCATAAAGTAATTCAATAGTTGTAATAAACAAGGATGTTCCACACCATCTATGTGCATATTGAAGGAAGAAAATCAGGCATGTATACCCAAACCATGAGTATGTGTAGGTAGATGATAGGAGAGACAACGTGAGGGTTTTGGAGGAAGAGTTTTTCCCTGTAATCTGATTGTTTGATGATTTGCCCAATAGAATTAATTTTCACTTCCCGCTGAAATGGCTGATAACAATCAATATCAGAAAATGGCTAATGGACCACCTCAACCTCTCTTGCTATCATTGTGAGGCTTATTCTTTTTCTCTTGCTTAGAAATCTATTGATGTCCTCATCTCCTCTGCAGTAGCTTTTACCTTTGATCTCTCAAAGATTTGTTTACAATACACTGAGTCGTCCTGTTGTCTTATTTTTTTTTTACTGATGTTGATTCACTGTATGCATACCCTGGGCTATCAAATCAATCATGCTTAGAAATCACTATGAAAAGATCAATGCTTAATTTTATCTTGGCCAGATATTTATGCAGTTCTCAAATGGCTTTCTCTTTTTCCTCCAGAGGTGCAAAGTGAGGAGAGATGAGTCCTTGTCTTAGCCCTTGCTGGTAGTCAAAGATCTGTTTTTGAAACTACTGTAATGAAAAAAAAAAACAAAACAAAAAAACAAAAAAACAACAAATCATTAATGAAAAAATCTTTTCTGGTTTTACATTCTCTTCTGAAAATGCAATTACTGCTTATTTTCCTGATGCAAGACAAGTAAAGCTTTATCTTCTCTGTCTCAGACTGTTATATGCAAAATGTGTTTATATCTCAGATCTAGTAAGGAATTGTAAAAATATGTGAAGGAGATTGCAAAAGTTATACTTGTAATACTTTACAAAATTGCTTCTAGCCTTTTATTCTCTTTTTGTTTAGCTGACAATAACAAAAAGACTTTATTTTTCTACAAAGTACATATTCTATGGCATTTAAACAGACAGGGCTGAATTCCAGAAGATACAAGTTATGTTCATAGTGAAGTGTCTAAACACTTCAGATGTCTCAGTAGTCCCTCCCACAATTGATATTCTGGCAGTCATCGACCTCTGATGCTCCCAACATAACTGTGGGACTGGTAGTGTTTCTTTCTCTGGCATTCATCTTTTATTTTGACACAGAAATCTAGTTCATCGGCTTATATAAGTTATCTATTTTTCCATA